TATCAGTCACTATCCTCCCTTGTGTTTATCCATATGTTGTAGTTATCCTAATCATTATAGGATTAGGATAATCATCCCCTTTATTGTTGTAATCCTTATCTCCTAAGGAATATGCTTATTCTCTTGTATGTATATATATGTATGTGCACGTGATGAATAAGACATACAGAGTTACAACCTTCTTCTTTATTTCACAACAGTAACACAATTTTTTTTTAGTTCTTTCACTTATTTATTTACATTCTCTTGTCTTTTGATGAATTTTATTTTATTTTGTCGACTCTGAAAAAGACAAAAGGTTTATACACTTTGAAAAATCTTTCTTGACCCAAAACAACATAATAACTGCTCATATCTTAGTTTTTAACTTGACTGGTCCACTCCACTTACAATTGTCTCAAATGCATTTTTTTATGCCAAGTATGATCATGTCTTCAATATATTCTAAGGTTTGTGATTGTGACTGCCTTTTAAACCTTTTATAAATTTTTTCAGGAGTTTTTCATCTCAGTTTGAGCAAAAGACTCAGTCAACTTCTTGGATCTTTAAATGTCTAGTTTTGATGAAAATGTTGCTGTAATGGGAGAATGGGTGCCTTGTAATCCTATCTCCAAACGTGTTCTTGAAAGAGAGCTATCTTTGAATCATGGCCAAGTTACTAGTAACAACAACAAGGATGCGTCACAAACCAACAACATTTCACGAGGTGGTTTAAGTGAAAGAATATCTGCTAGAGCTGGATTCAACACTCCGAGGTTAAACACTGAGAACATCCGCTCTAACACCGACTCTTCTAGTCTTCGTTCTCCTTACTTAACCATCTCTTCTCCTGGCCTTAGCCCTGCAACGCTCTTGGAATCTCCTGTTTTCCTCACTAACTCACTGGTAATAAGCTCCAAGCTGTTTCCTTATCTCAATATTATTATGAAACTTTGTTCTGAAAATTTCTGTGACCTTTGCAGGCTCAACCGTCACCAACTACAGGGAAATTTCAATTTCTTCCGGGTTTTAACAGTAATGGATTGTCTTCTTCTGTTGCTTCTGATAAAGAGAAGGACGAGTTCTTTGATGGCATTGGAGCATCATTCACATTCCCTCCTGTTTCAACAACATCCTCTTCCTCTTTCTTCCAAGGCTCAACAACAGAGATGATCCCAGTTGATTATGGTAACTACACAAACATAACTTCTCATCAGTCCCTAGAAGAAGATGTAAAACTCTGTTCTGAACAGAGGTTGCCATCTGATGCCATAACAAACACTGTTGATCATCAAGTAGAAGAGGAAGAAGAGCAAAGAGGTGGTGATTCGATGGCTGCTGGTGGTGCACCTGCAGAGGATGGATATAACTGGAGAAAATACGGACAAAAGCCGATTAAAGGAAGTGAGTATCCACGAAGTTATTACAAGTGCACAACCCCTAACTGTGAAGTGAAGAAGAAAGTGGAAAGATCAAGAGAAGGTCACATTACTGAGATTATATACAAAGGAGCTCATAACCACTCCAAGCCTCCACCTAATCGCCGCTCAGGAACTGAACAAGCTGAACAACAACAGCAGCAGCAGCAGCAGCAGAGAGATAACGCTGGAACATGGGTTAGTTGTAATAACACTCAGCGACAAGTTGAAAGCAATGAGAACCATGTAGAAGGATTGACTCAGGTTCAAACCGGAGGTCAGTTTGAGTCAGATGATGGTAGTAATGGTGGTGTAATCATGGTGGATCCTTCGTCAACATTCTCTAATGATGAAGATGATGGAGGGACTCATGGGAGTGTTTCTTTGGGATATGATGAAGATGGAGAAGGAGATGAATCCGAATCGAAGAGAAGGTGTTCTTTACCTTCTTTAAACACATGTCACATTAATTCAAACATGCGGCTGTTCTGGCTTAAAAGAAACATTTTGGTTTTTTGTTTTCAGGAAACTTGAAGCTTACGCAATAGAGATGAGTGGAGCAACAAGATCGATACGTGAGCCAAGGGTCGTTGTGCAAACAACGAGTGATGTTGACATTCTTGACGATGGCTATCGCTGGCGAAAGTATGGTCAGAAAGTTGTCAAAGGCAATCCAAACCCGAGGTTCTTACAAAACTCTAATTGTAATAGACACATTGGTCTCTTGTTGTAATAACAAACAATGTTTCTTTTTGTAGGAGTTACTACAAATGCACAGCTCCTGGATGTACAGTGAGAAAACACGTAGAGAGAGCTTCTCATGATCTTAAATCCGTTATAACCACTTACGAAGGCAAACACGACCACGACGTTCCCGCCGCACGCAACAGTAGTCACGGTGGCGGTGGAAACGGTAACAACGGCGTTTCAGCTGCTCAAACCAACCATTACCAAGAGCCTCCACGTGGCAGATACGACAGACAACTCAACCAGTCGTCTCAGTTTGGACGTCCGTTTAGCTTCCAGCCTCATTTGGGTCCTCCTTCCGGTTTTTCTTTCGGTTTAGGACAAACCGGTTTAGGTAATCTTTCGATACCTGGTTTAGTGTTTGGTCAAGGGAAGATGCCGGGTTTGCCTCACCCGTATATTATGAGTCACCCGGTTGGGATGGGTGAAGCGATGATGCAGAGAGGGATGGAGCCTAAGGTTGAACCGGGTTCGGAAACCGGACAATCGGTATATAACCAGATAATGAGTAGATTACCACAGATTTGAAAGTTTACCCTATTTTCTTTTGCATTTGCTTATACATAGTAACATTTTAAGTTTCTGTTTCATTTTCTTTAATTTATTGGTTTGAAACACTGGGGAAGGTTAAACGCTGTTACCATTTTCATTCTTTTGTTGTCTTTCTTTCCCCCAGAAATGATACAAGGTAGTGAAATGGTTATATTTAGAGAGGCAAAATTCTATGAGAATGTTTTAAACATCATATATAAAATTTTACATCTGTATCTCAGCAAAAATCCTTTGACTCTCTTATTGGCAAAGGAAAAAAGATTTTCAGGTACCAAAGAGTATATTTTCTAGAACATGAATTGCTGGAAGAATATATATGAACGCATTTCTTCCACCTCTTCAAGTGTTTATGTCATACGCGATGTTGAATTTGTCGACCATCTCGAAATTTCAGTTTCTATATCAGTGAAATGGACATGGGGTTTCTGTATGGGCCTATGTATCTCAGAACGGGCCTCGAATTGAGTTTGGTGAACTCTGTCAGTTTCATTTGGTTGATAAGTCATAAGTTTAGGATTCATTTTTAGAGAAAAATATTTTAAGAAAATTTGATAAGTTTATGCATGAAATAAACGATTGGAAACTAATGTATTCAGAGCTATGTAAGATTTTTAGCATTGTGGATGTAGAATTGCTTGTCGTTCTTTTGCATGGTAAAGCACTAAAGCTATTTTACCCTCGTGGTAACTTTTTTTTTTTTCATCAACAATGTGATAGTATAATATAGTCGATATCTTTTTGTGTGCTTTAGATGTTAAAAATGTTGATTTCATCCATTTTAATTTAGCACATAATACATATTAAATAATTAAAAAATACAGTTTCGCAATAGAAAATAAAGTAAAATCTGTTATGTTATTCACAAAAAAAAAAGAAAGAAAAAAAGAAATGCGTTGGTGAGCCTAAAAATGTGTGTGGTGTGGATAATATATAAATAATAAAATTACTAAATACCAACGAAGCTGTGGCCATATCAGATTACTATCCAAAATAATAATACACCGCCACGATAGAAAACGCAGATAGGTTTGGGATTTGGAAGGCAATCGGATTCGGAGGAGAGGAACCAAATACTAATCAACTCTCGACGACATGGCGATGAGAGACCTTGTCAACGGCGGAGCCGCCTGCGCAGTTCCCGGCTCTTCTTCCTCCTCCAACCCCCTCGGAGCTCTCACCAACGCCCTACTCGGCTCCTCTTCCAAAACTCAGGTTTAGCTTCCTGATCCAATCTCATGCTGAGTAAAGTCGAAAGTAGATCTTATTCTTTAAGGGAGAGTTTTAGATATGGTCCTTATGGCTTAATCTCTGACTTTGATTGCTGATTTTGGTGGGACAGGAAAGGCTCAAGGAGATACCTAATGCGACTCCTTCAGGTCCTGGGCCACAGTTTTACTCTCAGGATCAACACCTTGGTTCAATTCCTGGTTCTGAGTTAGATCAGCCTGTTTTGCAGCCTGGTGCTCAGGTTATTTAATTTGCTATGCAAAGTTTTTGACTCGTTTTTATAATTTAGTGTGTTGGCACTGATTACTCTAGTGGATCTGCCATTTTTTTTCTATCAGGGGGCGGACTTCTTCCGTGGTTTTCGCTCTGTAGATCAGAATGGTTTGGGTGCGGCTTGGGATGAAGTGCAGCGTGGTGGACCTATGCCTCCAATGGGACCTATGTATGAGCCAGTTCAGCCCACTTTTGAAGGTTTCTGATCTTATTTCACTCTTACTTTCTCTACCATATGATTTAGAGACGGTGACAAAATGGATAGATATTGTGGTTTTATGAATTGAATAAATGGTAACATCTTCAATCGCAAAGTAATCATTTTTAGTTGTGGGAAGAAAAGCAGTGTAAAGTATAGCTAGATGAAATAAGTAGCTCAGTAGTTGAATCAAGTTTTTCACTATGCGTTCCTTCAAATTCTTCCGGATGGCTGTCGCGTGTTTATTGTCCTGTCATTGTTTATTGAATAGGTAAAAGTGATGTGGTGTCTTGTGCTTGCTTAAAATTTGATTTTTTTTTTCCTCCATTGCAGGACCCCCGCAGAGAGTTTTGTCAAACTTTCTGCATTCGTTTGTTGAGAGTAGCCGTGGTGGCATTCCCTTTCGTCCAGCACCTGTCCCTGTGCTGGGATTGTCGCAGAGTGACAAGCAGTGTATACGTGATCGTAGTAGCATAATGGCCCGGCATTTTTTTGCTGACAGGGGAGAAGAATTTATCAATTCTCAGGTTTGCTCACTGTCTGATAGTTTTCTGTAGCTGCGTCATTGTGTTGTATGCCTTCAACTTGGGTTTTAAGGGTCAAGTTCAGCTATACGATATGTGCTTAACGTTTTGGCGTTCTTCTTTCATGTCGTCGCTCTTTAGCAACTAAAAATAATTTCATATTATGAGGAAGTGTTATTATGATATATAAAGTTCAGGTCCGACTTCCTTGATCCTAAATTTGCTTTCAAAGCTTACATTTTATAATGAGAATGACGGTCAGAGGTTTTGTTGAGAACGCTTGCTATTGTGTTACTTGTTATCTCTCTTTTTTTTGTGTTTGTTTGCAACTTTGTTTCTCAATGTTGTCGGCTGCTTATATGTGTATTTTCTTTCTTCTACAGGTAAATGCTTTATTGTCATCTTTAGATATCGATGATGGCATTCAAGCTAGAGGTCATATGCCTGGGAGATTTCGGGAGCTAGATGATTACTGGAATGAGTCTCAGGCTGTTACGAAACCTGGTTTACATCCTGCGGATAGTTGGGCGGCCGAATTTGACCAGCATCAGCATGGGATGAATCATGGTGGTCCTGACGCATGGGTCAACTCTTTTGAGCAACAACATGGTGTGAATGGGTGGGCTACCGAGTTTGAGCAGGTACTTTGTCCTTCAATTGTTTGATATATTCTACTTGAATGTCCACACTAGACTCATGTTTAACAAGCTTGCAATTAGTATAATAGAATATGACTTATATTTTTGGCTGAGTATAGGCTTTGATTTACTAGTTCCCAAGGCATAGTTGTTCAAAATCCTGAATCTGTCGCGACTTTTTTTTTTGTGATGTTATCAGTCATTAGGGCCTGAGTAACGTTTAATTGGACAGAACCTTAGCTATCTCATATTTAGTCTAATCTTTTTCCTATTTTTTGTTGAATTTTTTTTGAAGGGTCAATCTCAGCTGATGTCAAACCAAATGAGAAGTACGAATATGCAAAATTTAGCGGCAATGGAGCAAACTCGCAAGCTTGCTCATACACTGTCTCAGGATGGCAATCCGAAATTTCAGGTTTGTGTACAAATAAACTCCATTTTTAAAAAGCCTTGGATCGTAGTTTCAGTAAATAAGTTTGTAATAAACTCTACTGTTGGACGACATCTGTTTTTTCTAGGCTGTTCTGATCCCTTGTTTCCTTTGCTGAGAACTTCTGGGGCGATGTTTGGTTTGCGCCCCAGAAGTTGAAGATTTCCTAAACTTTATATCACAAAAGATTCTTTTGCATTTAAGGATGTCGTGCTGAGCTGTTCTTTTGGGATTTATCTAAAAGCTTGGCAAAATGTTTGGTGAATGCAGAATTCAAGATTCCTTCAGTTTGTTTCTAAGATGAGCCGCGGTGAACTCATTATGGATGAGAATGAGGTTAAGGCTGGACCTGCCCCTGGGGACTGGGCTACTGAGTATGAACAGCAGTATCTGGGACCGCCAAGTTGGGCTGATCAATTTGCTAACGAGAAAGTATGTACTAGTTAATAAAGTATGTTTTTGCTTTAGGGTCTACGCGCTACTGATAGCACGTTAGTGCAAATTGATTTACTATCATTCCTTTCTTGCATAGCTTAGCTGTTGTAGTGGATCTCCTGCATTTTCTATTTTAGAAATGCAATGTAGTGGAAAGGCGGAGCGTAGATTTCTCTGTACACTTCTTTCCAGTGAAATGGTTCCTTATTACTCACAGAATATGATGTCTCTGACATGGTCGAAACTAGAAAGTTTAATTACGACATATTTTCTATGTTCTTTTCGATAATAAGCATCATCTTGCATCTACCGTAAGCTTTTTATTTTGGTGTCTGTAGCTTGCACGTGGACCAGAACAGTGGGCTGATGAATTTGCTTCCGCGAACAGACAGCAAGAATCGGCTGAGGACCAATGGGTTAATGAGTTTTCGAAGTTGAATGTTGATGACTGGGTAGATGAATTTGCTGAAGGGCCCGTGGGTGGGAGTTCAGCTGATGCATGGGCAAATGCTTATGATGAGTAAGTCCATTATTATTAATTGATCTATTATAAGTTCTCTTTTTCATTGTGCTTGTGCGTTCACAAATTTTATGGTCCCTCTCCAATGGCATTCCTTGATCATGTTAACTCATATACTGTATTGCTTTCTTCCTGTGCAAATTTCTCTGGTTCCTTAATGTTTCCTTAGATGGAAATTTCGTAACTATGCAATTCCTTCTCTATAGCTAAATTTCAGGTTTCATTTTACCATTGATGCGTTGCCTGGTTAGTCAAGGGCTATTATTTGATTACCTCCTTGCTTTTAATCTAGGGCGACATGAAACAATGTTCAACCTACATGCATCTTCGACTTTCAAGTCCCTCTAACCAAAGTCTCTGAATCTTCAGGTTTCTGACGGAAAGAAGTGCTGAAAAACAAAATAGTGGTGTCTACGTCTTCTCTGACATGAATCCTTATGTGGGTCACCCTGAACCTATGAAAGAAGGGCAGGAATTGTTTCGCAAAGGACTTCTGAGTGAAGCAGCACTTGCTCTAGAAGCTGAGGTTATGAAAAATCCTGAGAATGCTGAAGGCTGGAGATTACTTGGGGTCACACACGCCGAGAACGATGATGATCAACAGGTTACTCAGATTAATTTTGCATGAACCATTATTTACCGGGTTGCTAAATACTTTTTAAATATTGTGTATGCAGGCAATAGCTGCAATGATGCGGGCACAGGAGGCAGATCCGTCAAATTTAGAGGTGCTTCTTGCGCTTGGTGTGAGCCATACCAACGGTTAGTGTCTGAAATCTAGCAATATGTGTTTGTTTTTGTATTATTATCTTGTAGCCGTACGTTTTTGGAATTAGATAGGTGACCAAAATGTTGTCCTCTGTAAATACAGAGTTGGAGCAAGCAACTGCGTTGAAGTACTTGTACGGATGGCTGCGGA